TCGCAGTGGGAACCGGGAACCGCGGACGGCTCTGTGGTCTGGGGTAACCTGGAGGGCCCGCAGGGTTTATCTGCAGCTTTTCGCCCGCTTTTTCGGCTCGTAAACCGAATAAATGCCTCAGTGCGCGCTGAGGGAGGGCCCCTGAGGAAGGCGGTGCTCGGAGGGGGGGGCGGGGTTCTTGGTGTGGCTTCAGACGTCTGTAGGGCCGGAACCGTGAAATTTAGGGAGATTTTACTCCTGGTTTAGCTGAGGATGGGTAGAACCGCGGTTGTTGGCATGTCGGACATGTCTGTAGAAGGATGCAAGGGTTAGATCAGTGATGGGGCTCCCACGCAGAAAATGCTGCGCCTTCCCACAGAGCAGGGCTGAAACGCCTGTGGTCCGTGAAGAGTTACAGTAGTAAGGTGGCTGGAGCTGACACACGTGTCCCTTAGCTAAAAAGCATCGTAGGCTGGGTGCCTTTCCATGGGTAGGACATCCTAGAGGTCCCTTTGTGCCTCCCAAGAGATGTTCCCGAGATGTGGCCAGCGTTGTGTCCTCAGTTGGGGTCCAGGGCAGGGGACGCCACACGGCCGGGAGCTGATTCCTCTCCCGAGCTGCCTGCATCGGTCACACCTCATAGAAAATTTGTCTTTGAGGTCTCCAGCGTTTTTGTTTTAAGATCCTCCCGTGTCTTAGTCAGTGTCTTTTGATGGAGAGACATCCAGCTCCCATCTGATTTACTCCCATGAGTGAATCGTGAAGCACTTGACACGGGAGTCCTGTACAGTGCATGAATGCCTCAAAACCTGCCTCTCTGAACACGTGTATGTGATATTAACATGTATACATGATATTAACATCCGTTCTTCTTCAGCAGTGCACGTGTTCTCCTGATTCTCTTGTTTTCCAGTTGGTGCAAAAACGATTCATCGGATCCCTTTACCACATTTGAAAAGCAAACTCCCTTTGCAATGTAAATAACAATAATAAAGAGAAACCCCCTTGGTAGCTGTTCCTAGAAAAGTTTCAGTGCTGCTTGTACTTCACAACACTGTACTTCCTCCCCACATCCCCCCCCCCCCTTAAAGCCAAGTAACCACATTTTTACTTTGTCTTTTATGTTTGAAGAGTAGCTGTCTTTAGAAGGATGTTGAGGCAGAGAAACGTCCTGTAATTGTTGTATCAGCTGCATTCACCCTGCAGGGCAGTGATGCTCAGGGGTGTTGGCTGCAATCCCTCACGGGGACCTGGCTGTGTCAGGAGGAAATCTGTGTTTGTTCCATTCCTCCACGTGTGCTCGTATCCTTGGGACAGGTGCTGAGTGTGCAGTCTGTGTTCTTCAGCAGATACTTTGGACTGAATCAATGGGAAAGCCAGGACTGCCAGGATTGTTTGCCTTTCAGTGTAAATAGCATTATATAACATAAACCAGAGAAAAGAAGAAACTTGTCTGAACCATTCCCCTGCCTGTCTCATATGCATATAAAACTGTGATTGAATTCTTTTGTGGCAAGCTACAAGGACCAGCAAAATGGTTTTCCTGGGGCTTGGCTGTTTGTGTCAATGTAGATACTTCAACAGAAATACATGCTAAAATTCACAGATCTGTGTACAATCTCTTCATGGGAGAGTGTCTCTATAATATAGCAAGAATTTTATAGCCTTTTGTATTTCCAATAATTAAAAAAAGAAATCTCCACTGGTTTATGAGGCATCTTCATTTTCAAGTGAGAGATGGAGTGACATAGGAATAAATGACCTGCCTGAGGGCACACAGTGCATCAGATCAGAGAGGCAGGACTGTGATAGAGAACTTTTTTGGGTTTGGTTTTTATTTTTGCCAGTAGATCCCATTGCCATTGAATATGGCTTTTCCTCAGCACCAGTGTGTTGCCTCCCCACTTCTCTCCCAACACCTATTGACTGCAGAGGAAGCTGTCTGTCCTACTGTAACTTGAAAATTTCACTTTCCAGCCATAATGTTGTGTTTTACTGCATTTCAATGTTCCTGTGAAACAGTTTCCTAGAAACGTGTAATTGTTCCTTTTACATTTTTTTTCTGTTTTTTTCTGTGCAGCTGAATCTTTCCACCATGAAACAGCTGCCTGGAGAGACAATTCGGCTCCTTTCAAGTTCTCAGGTGATTACTTCAGTTGTCAGTGTGGTGAAGGAGCTGATAGAAAATTCCTTGGATGCCAGTGCTACAGGCATTGATATTAAACTGGTAAGCCTTTCTCTCAAAAAGAATTGGATATAGAATAAGATGCCAAGAAAATTGTTCCATTGCAAATGTGATTTTTAGGCTATTGTGATTTGGGGAATGGCAATGATTATTATATATTTATATGTATATATTTTTACCTCAAGTAAAAATGGTACAAAATTATTTTCCATTTGTGTTTTTGAGGCCCTGCTCTGGAACAGTAAGGCATATTTGTGCTTCTGGGTGTATTGTGGGGAAAAAACTGTTAGCTTTCTTAATCCTTCTTTTCCTACTTAAAATTTGTATTTTCTGACTAATAGCCTGTTTTAAATGTTGGACTTAGGTTTGCTGTCAGGCTGACATATTTAATTCTCATTACAAAGTATTGTAAGAAAGGTAAAAATGGAGACAGCAGAAAAGGTTGATGGCCATTCAAAACAAAAGATGTTCTTGTAATGCAAATCACCACCCTGTCTCTAATTAGCATGGTGAACTCTGGCTACTTCTAACTCTTTATGTTTATAAGCTCTTCAAAAAAGTTGACATGTCATTCAGGAATAGTTTCTGACAATAGAAAATACTACTTTTAATAAAGAATTTGAGCTTTTTTCTCCCATTAGATTGGGTAACTGGTCAGCTCCTCTTGCTGTCCTGTTTCTGCTTTTGCAGTGTTTTGTCAGCAGCTGTATATAGCAGTATCTCCTGCTTAGCAAGAAAGAAGTGTTGCTATATCCTGTATAAATGCATGTATTCAGAATTGTATCCAATTTCCTTTCTGCAAATAACAGTGAATGCATAGGATATTCTTGAATTAAATGTTAGACAAATGCAATTAACTAGGAGGACAGTTTAGTTTCTCCTTGTTTCTTTGTCCATGTCTGCTGTATTTCCTGACTACAGTTGTTCATGTGAGAATGCTTTCCTGTAGATGCCAAGGCACATGTTTGTTACTGCTTTGAGTGAGCTGAAGATGTTGTCCCTTTGCTATGGTCTCTCATAATCTCTGTCTTCTCAATATTTAGATTGCAGAGTGTCTTGCTTCTTGAGTAACTGCAGAGTGAGTAGTGTGTACACAGCTGTGGGGGTGAAGGGTATTGGGATCAGATCCTGGGAGCTGATCAGTAACTGCAAGGAGTGGACAGAAAGGTTTTG